AGGCAAATACTAATACATAAAGATCCCCTTGTCGCAATTTATCCTGTTTTAGACCTCAGGTGCTGGGGAATTCCAAATTAATATATTTGACGCGAACTAAAAAGCGTTTAGGTGGGAAAATATTTTCCGAGTGAAAAACGAGAGAGGGAAAGCCACACCAACCTGTATTCTGTTCAACTTTTGTAGTTTGTGGGCGAAAAGTAGAGAAAAAGGCTTCCTTAGTTGACCAAGGTGATGTGCCAATGGCGGTTGAAGCGCTGGTAGAAGAAGTTTTCTTGTCTTTGTATCCTGTGTGAAAAAAATGAGTTTATATTACAAGTTTACAGCAAGATTTATAGTTTTGGGTACTTTAAGGTACTAAATGACAATGTGAATATATTTCAATTTTTTTCTATTTCAGTTTCTTCGCACAATCGCCGTATTGCCAATTACTATGACTGAAATGGACTATTTTAGTATCTATTCTAGTGCATGTGATACCAAATAACATCATTAAAACTTCATACCATGGGGAATGGTCGTTTCTTTGACACCTAAAACAGAATTCGTGGTCGCTTCTTTAAGACCTACAACAGAGCGCGTGGTCGTTTCTTTGACACTTGCAACAGAGGGCGTGGTCGTTTCTTTGACACTTGCAACAGAGGGCGTGGTCGTTTCTTTGACACTTGCAACAGAGGGCGTGGTCGTTTCTTTGACACTTGCTACAGAGGGCGTGGTCGTTTCTTTGACACTTGCTACAGGGGGCGTGGTCGTTTCTTTGACACTTGCAACAGAGGGCGTGGTCGTTTCTTTGACACTTGCAACAGAGGGCGTGGTCGTTTCTTTGACACTTGCAACAGAGGACAGCACTGAGTTTGTCTCTGATTTTTCCATTGTCTTTTTTAACTGATGGAGCTCACTTTTCATTCCGTGTAATTGTTCCGTTAAGGCTGCGAAACGAAATCAGAATTTAATTTGAGCCATCAGTTTAACCGTCCGAATTCTGTGAATTTGTTGTTAGAAGATATGTACCGCTCTCTCCCGTTAAAAATAAGAATATGAGATGGGTATTGCTAAACTCCACGTTAAATGTGATTGTTAAAAATGACGCAATAAAGATATAAAATGATTTGAATTTTACCAATAAAACGATTGTTTAACAAACGTATTTCGAATTATATTGTAGACGCTAACCTTCCAAAGCGTTCTCTTCGTCTTTTGTGCACTGTCCATTCTGAAATAGAACAAGATAAATGTTTGAATATATGGATATGTAGGTTGCACATCCGTGTAGTATGGCCCTAGCTAAGCAAGTCTTTCCATATGCCGTAAAAAAGTGTTCCCATGGATTAAAGTGAAACGTAGAATCTGGGATAAAGTATCGGGTCCCATCGAACTCAGTGTTAGTTTCAAACCTCCATTACTTACAGAAAAAATCGCTAGAACGTTCTATTTTCTTATATTTGTTCCCGATTTCAAACAAAACAGTTTTATTTTCACAAATAATACCACAATATGAAAACTACCACTAAGCACTACCACTCTCACCTTAACGTCTCTCCAAGTAGGTTGCCCGTCGCAAACCATAGGCATCCAGCATTTCTCACCTGTTATTAGGAGAAAATTGAAATTAGAAATCGATCGAAATGTTCATTTATAATATGTTTATTTTAAAATAGTTTTAAAACAGATAAACAAAAATATGTAAATAAACTTTTTTCATAACGAGACAAATTCAGTACCTATCCACTTATGGCGCGCATTCGCTCATTCCATACTAAATTTTATACTTTTACACTCGTCATGCGAACGCACTATTTTTTTTCTCCTCGATGATGATTGGTCGAATCAAATTTGAATTATTACGCCCGCCATTGGGGAACCTAACAATGTTTAGCGGGCATGGGCTAATTGCTGACCGATACCCGCGATTAAGTTTCCGGTTTTTGAGAATCGTTTCAATTTTTTTGACGAACAATAAACTCTTGAAAGTTGAATTTCCCATAGTTTGCTGCTTTTGTTTATAATGAAATAAAAACAAGAAAGATCATAAAAATATTTGTACGGGATGGCAGGATAACCGCGAAATGACCATTCGGTCTACTTGTCAGCGGCAACCTTAAAATAGCTCAAAACTTATGGCTACAAAATTTGCACAGCGGGACACGTTTTTATGCACGAACATCGCCCCAAGATGACGCTTCACAAATTGGCCACCACGCCCCCTTATCTATGAGAGATTTTTTCCTTCTGGACATTTGAGTGTATATGACGATATTCAAAATTTTAGGTTTAAAAACCAAATCAAATGAGGTGATGCTCGCATCGGAGATTTCAAAACCAAAAGCGTTGTATCGTTTTACATCGTTATGAGGGAAGAGCCATTTACTAAGATCTACTGCCATTGTGGGATTAAGACGATAAGAGGCCCTAGGCTGTGCCATTTGTGAGATTTCTCTTGAACAATGACGTAATAAAGAATATATTATGACATCAAAAATTAATTGACTATTATCTACTTTTAAACCGGTTTTATTCTAGAACTATCTTTTACGATTTAAAAACGACTTAAAAATGACTGAAAACAGTTTAAAATTAAATGCCGGGGCCCCTAAGATTGAGGCACCTAGGCTTCAAATTACTTTGCCTGGTAAATCAAACCTTTTCTACAGTACAGAAACTCACCCAATACTTGGCAAAATGAACGAGGTATTCAGAGAATAAGATATCGGATAAAAAAAAAATTTCCTAATTAAATGTAGGTTTAACCTTTATCGAGAGACCGAGGTTCGCCATACTATTACACCGTCATACCGACATCCTCTACGCCGGAATAAATAAATATTTCTTCTGATACAAATATACCGGGCGCGACGCGAGAAAACAGCTTCAAAATTCGCCGAAAGAATTGTTTCGATTCACAATTAAGTCGTGTCGCCTTTAGTAGCTAAAACGTTTATTTACGAATATAATTATGAGATATATGGTAAAATTTGTTAACTTGGACAAATAATGTTTTTTTTCATCTTCTTTTGTACAATTTTTTTTTGACGTGGTTCAGAAAAAATATTGAAATTTATAAAATAACGTCATCAATACACTAAGGACAAAAATTATTAGATTTCTGAATTCTATACTTATAAAAGGTTCTTGCTGTTTAAATATCAACGACCTGATTTTTTTAGGAGCTTTATATAATTTTTGAATAACCAATTTATTGTCACTAATTTTAATATTTGAATATCGCTGGTGAGGTTTTAAAATATTTTATTTTTTTTTTTTGTAAAATAAGCAAATATTACTAGCCGATTGAAAAAACAGCGCTAACAGTATAGAATTTTGGCCCAAAAATTTATTCAATGTTCAGCTTCCATAAGAATAGCTCAAATATCCTGCCTGATTTACTGGGGAAAACTTCTACTTGATGTCAGAATTACCTCACCAACTGGGGATCAAATAATCAAAGAAATTTAATTATAGTATGCTCCATCCCTCCATCATACCCCCAGCCCTTCTTCAAAAAATAAAAATAACAGGCAAACAAGCAAACCGAACAAAGCATGCACGATTATACTAACCTTTAATGAATAAACAAGCTTCCATCAACAGTATTAGTCCGATGAAACTGTGTCGAATCGGAATCTTCATTTCGAATCCAAGAATTTCGTCAATTTCGCTTCGATGAAAATAAATTTTCGAACAGCAAAGTTTAGAATGAAGCTTCAGTCTATTCACATCGGAATATATCCTATGCAAGCTGACTCACTACTCTGAAGCGGGAAGAGAAATTGTTCTCTCTCTTTCAAATTTTAGGATACGTGTTGCGTCACAAAAGAGAGTTTGGGCTGCTCTTTCTATCTTTATGAAACGACGTCGTCGATACCACACCCGTGAGTAATATTCGGTGAATTTCAGATACATTTTCTGACGGATTTCGCTCTCCCAGTTTCGGTAGATAAAGATATACTAAATGAAAATTAAGGATAAGGAATGATTTGAATTTCCAGCGCAATCTTCATTCCTAGCCCTCACTCTTACTGGATAATTATTATTTGTTGGGCGGTGGCGGATGAGTTTTTTTTCTGTCAAGGGCTTTGTACAAAATATCCCGATTCATTAGAAAGAGTCGGATTAACAAAACTGAAATATCCTTTCCAAGATAGTGGCGTCTGCTAGCCTTGCTTTAAGTAACTGTCGGTGTCAAAATTCTGATGCTTCTGGTCTTGAAATTTCCACCCCTTACAGCTGGGATAACAGTTTATAGCGGCCCACCAGTCGAATATAGTATTTCGGACGTCGAATATAGAATTTCGGACGTCAAATATAAGTTTTCGGATGTAGAAGATAGGTGTTGTACGTCGAATATAGGTTTATGGACGTCGAATACAATAGTACCTGAAGTAGTGCACCTGATGTGCACCAAGATGGCGCACAACCTTAACATAGTGTGTGTACCAAGTTAGGGTTATCAGGTTGTGCGCCATCTTGGTGCACATACTACAGGAGCGCCCACAAATGTATGGATTAGTTAACGCTACTCTCAAAATCAGTATCAGTACGGGCTAAGTCTTCTAACCCAGTGCGCCTTATGTATAGAAAAAGCCCTAGTCTCGCCTTGTCCTTATTCGGCGTTGCGTTGATTTCATATATGGGTGAGCGATACGAGTCGCTGTTCAGTTGATCACAACATTCCATGGCTGTGTGTTAGTGAGCTGAATTTATATTTGTGCAACAATTAAACATAGATAAATCAATTAGATTGGCTTCACAATGAATGTATAAAGCTTTTGTTCAGGCCTGGAACTCGATAACATTTATCAAATATGCCGATGTAGGCATAGTATAGCATATGGCGCTGAGAACCACTCAATATTATCAAAAATTTCTGTGCAATTCCCGCTATCGTTAGACTAATTTTCCGATGTATCGTTCATGAGTAACATCATGATTTTAAAATACCGCATTTCCAAAACACATTCGTAATTATACGAGATGGTTATCGTTTACAAAAATCGCGGAAGCTCATGTCAATCCTTTACTTTGTGTTCAAACAGCCCAACGCAAATTTAACGCTATCTGTATTCAAATATATCTGTAAGACATTCTGATTATAATTTTATTCGAAACCCTTACTATATTTTCCAAACACTGACATATCATACGTATTAATGCATTGAAATATCGGGATTTATGGACATAGAAAAAGTTGGGTTTTGCCATGGGGGTTGAATTTTATTTTAAATTCGCAAAGAGGTAAATTAAGGAATAAAGGCTGGAAACTTTTTCTATAAAATTCCGATAACAGCAAACAAAGGCGAGATAGATGACTGCTTTATTTGCATTGCTATTTCGTTGGCAATGGTTAAAATGTGAAAATCGGATGCCAGGGTTATGCTAGTTCAAAACGGCAAAAAATTTTAAATTTTGATTCCTCGAAACCAATGGTGTGTAATGACGTAGATCGTGTAGTGATCGTTTAAATTTTTTGATTGAAATTAATTTGAAATTTTTTTATGTGTGTTACTCACTGTTGAATCAGACAATGATCACACACTCGGCAGTTAGAAATGTCAGCGATTATGAGTTATGTCGAGTTATGATGAAACGTGGTCTTTCCCTGACCCTGTCCGCCCCCCAACGTTTTCATTCTTCTTTAAATATTTACCATAAGCCAAAAAATTCCCGGATATTTTTGGTACTATGATTTTAAATTTAATTAGCTTTGTGACGAATCAAACAGGAATGTCATATTGTTTCAGACAACATTTTTATAAAAAATCTACCTCGTGTAGGAATTGTCGCGTCACGATTCCCATTTTGACTGCAAATGGTTACATGCGACCTTTTCTTATAGCAGAGGTGAATTAAAGGGAGAATTGAAAGTCAAAATACTATAAAAACCCAACATAATTCGAATTAAATTATATTTTGTTTTATGAATATCTCGCAAACCAAACATTGGGAAAATCTTTTCTCGTTTTAGCCAAGATCGTGGCGTTTGCTAGCTTTGCTTAAATAACTGTCGGTGTCGAAAGTCTAGTAGCAGATGTCACGTGGCCTTATTTGGCGCTACGTGCGTTGATTTCATATATGGGCGAGCGATATTAGTCGCATATGTCTGTTCAGTTTAACATAACATTCTATGGTCGTGTGTTGCTGTGCTGAATTTATGTTTGTGTCACAGTCAAACTAGGATTATTAAATTAGATTGGCTCTGTAAAGAATGTATAGGGCTTTGGTCGAGGCTGGCACTAGATCAGAGTTATTGAATATGCCGATGTAGGTATAGTATAGCCTATGGCGCTGTGAACCACTCAATATTTTCAAAAATTTATGTGCAATTCCCGCTATCGTTAAACTAAATTTCCGATGTATCGTTCATGAGTAACATCATGATTTCAAAGTAACGCATTTCCAAAACACATTCGTAATTATACGAGATCATTATCGTTTAAAAAATCGCGGAAGCTCACGTCAATCATTTACTTTCTTTTCAAACAGCCCAACGCAAATTTAACGCTATCTGTATTTAAATATATCCGTAAGACAGGCCTGCCCAACCTTTTTCGTCTCGCGGGCCACTTTCACGTGACGAAATCGTACGCGGACCGCAAACGTTTGTACCAAACATTAATACCAGATAAGTCCTGATTTTTGTAATTACATAAGACATAAAAGGCGAGTTTATCAACATGAAATCAATCAAATTATTAATTGCTTTCTGGTTACTGGATGGGCTGACAAATTATTCGAATATTAGAATAGCGGTTTACTATTCGAATATCTGGTAAACGGGGCGTGGACATAACACTCTCGGGCGACCGAATCAAAGAATGATTCATTACACAACACACTTGCGGTTTTCTGGCGACCACGCAAGAAACACACACATCACGTCAAAGTTGAGTGTTTTATTTGCGTTATAGTGTTTTTATTCATTCATTTTCAGTAGCTATGATACTGCTTAAATTAGGCATAATGTGCGTCAATGTCGCGGCAATATCAAGTTCTAGTGGACCGTTTCGTAAAATTTGAAACACCAATACAAGTATCTGATGAAGTAACATAACGAAGATTTCTGAACGAATAGTCGACAAATACTGATTTGTGACTAATTAGTAGCAATGCCATTACGTCAATTTCATCAGAATTATTGACGAATACGCAGTGACGACATTTTCAAAATCTTATTTAACGCGAACATAACATGAATAAAAGTACAAACATAAAAAGACAACGAGTCCGGGGACCAAGTACCCAAGATATTGTTGACATTTTATTTTAAGCTGGCGATAAAGACGATCAAAGCAGACACGAAAGTAAACAATCAGAATGGAATTAATTCGCAAATTTAGGCTCCAAATTCATTTCTATAATTGCGCTCAGCGTTCGTCCTCAGTGATCGCACAATATCTTTCGAGTTCCTCGAACACAACGTTCAGTTCTGCGAGAAATAAAACAAAAAAATGACGTCGATGTTCACCAGGGTGAAAGACTTGACACATACGTAATAATAAGAACAGGCAATTGAATGTGGATAGATGGCAGGAATAATCACACCAAAATCAGAATCGTACTTAACCCTATATATTGATATATAACATAGTGAAAATTTAAATAGTCTTCTTACAAACTTTATAGGGCGGGACGCAAAAAACAATTCGGCGGGCCGCAGGTTGGGCAGCCTTGCTGTAAGACATTCTGATTATAAATTTACTCGAATACCTTACTATATTTTCCAAACACTAACATATCATACGTATAAATGCATTTAAATGCCGCGATTTATGGACATAAAAAAGTTGGGTTTTGCCATGGGGGGTTGAATTTTATTTTAAATTCGCAAAGAGGTAAATTAGGGAATAAAGGCTGGAAACTTTTTCTATAAATTCCGATAACAGCAAACAAAGGCGAGAAAGATGGCGGCTTTATTTGCATTGTAATTTCGTTGGCAATGGTTAATATGTGAGAAACCGGATGCCAGGGTTATGCTAGTTCAAAACGGCAAAAAATTTCAAATTTTGATTCCTCGAAACCAATGGTTTATTGACGTAAATCGTGCAGTGATCGTTTAAATTTTTCGATTGAAATTAATTTGAAATAATTTATGTCGGTTACTCACTGTTGAATCAGGCAATGATCACACACTCGGCAGTTAGAAATGTCAGCGAATATGAGTTATGCCGAGTTATGATGAAACGTGGTCTTTCCCTGACCCTGTCCGCCAACCCCCCAAACGAACGTTTCCATTCTTTTTTAAATATTTACCATGAGCCGAAAAATTGCCGATATTTTTGGTACTATGATTTTTTAAATTTAATTAGCTTTGTGACGAATCAAGCAGGAATGTCATATTGTTTCAGACAACATTTTTATGAGAAATTTACCTCGTGTAGCAATTGTCGCGTCACAATTCCCACTTTGACTGGAAATGATTATATGCGACCTTTTTATAACAGAGGTGAATTAAAAGGGAGAATTGAAAGTCGAAATACTATCAAAACCCAACATAAATCGAATTTAATTATATTTTGTTTCATGAATATCTCGCAACACAAACATTGGCAAAATCGTTATTATTAGTAATTATTATATTTTATTTATCCATCCGCGCAGTTTTTGAGCCAACTTCTGGCTGATACGAGCAAGTCAGTATGCCGTATTTTACGGACCACAAGGCGCACTCTGAATCCTTTTTTATCTTATAAATTGATTGTGCGCCTTATAGGTCAATTACACAAATGCATGGATAACGTAACGCTACACTCAACAACAGTACGGACTACGCCTTCTAGTCCGGTGCGTCTTATGTAAGAATAAAGCCCCAG